AGGAACTGCTGAGAAACTACATGTGTTGTGACTAGAGAAAAAGGTAAGCTGGCTTCAAAAGAGGGCTGAGGATATACGACTACCAAATGTTTTAATGTGTTCTCCAAATCCCTGTTTGAACTGAAAATTATATTAGAACAAGTACACGAAATCATCATAATACTGGAGGCTTTCACTCTTGCTGACAAAATATCTTGGGCTTTTTGGGCAAAATTACTATTAACTTAGATACAAAATAGAGTATTTTTATTTGTTTCATGAATTAAAAAAACCCCTTTGACCTTTTTCCATAGTTGTGTTTAGATAAAATAATGTAATGCTGTAAATGAGGATGCCAAGTTTTAATAGAAAACTGCTTACAACCTGAGGTACTTCTTGCTTGCCTCTCCAATCTAGATGGATATCCACTTTTGGACAGTTTATAGTCTTTCTGTACCACAAGATAAACGATGTTCAGGTTTTCTTCAAGAGAACCACAGTGCTAAAAAGATGTTATATTGTGGTTATATCTTTAAAATCCGAAAATACTTTTTTTTAATTACTCACAGAAATCAAGGGCTGGTTAACCCCCTTTCCTACTTAATTTCGTCCTTTCATTAGCATTAAAGGGGTTCTCTTTTCTGCATCTCTGATGACAGCTTTAGTCTCTTTTTTCCAAAGGCTCTGGTTTTCTGTGTAATTAGTCTGTAATTTTATGCTAGCATGGAGAATATATGTGATATTGTCAGGCTTGGCACTGCCTAAAATGAACAGCTGGTATTTGAGAAGAGAAGGAAGTACTTGATTCTGGCCACCCATGACAAACTTTTCTTCAGCATCCTAAAGATATCAGGAACATTATTTCAATGGCAGTGTTTTGCAGAGGCAATGAAGGGTGGAAGCTGACCTTCAAGGGTGCAGTGCCTGTGTTTTCATTCCCAAATTTCTACATGTTAAATGTGCTGCCAGTAGATACCACAAGAGAGGGTGGGAGACACTGCCTTTCCTTTGCAGGCAGCTTATTAGCAATATCTTGCAGCAATGCAAGACATAGGCTGCCAGAAGTGCTGAGAACTGGAATACACTCAGCCACAGATGCTTCTTGCAAGGCGTAACAGTTCTGAATCCTGTGCTGTATCAGCCCACATTTTGAATATGATTTTGAATATGACAGGCATAATATACAGTATAGTAACAAAGCACAGCCCTTGTTACAGTCCATTTTGTAGGGATAAGAGGTGTATAGGAATACATGCATTTCTTGGTGTGCAAAAATGTTTTCTTCTGGAAGTGCATTGATATTACCACTTGTCATAGAGAGACTATATATAAAAAAGAAAGATCTTTTCCTACATTGTTTGAGAAGGAATGCAGAAAAAAAAATCTCTGCACAAATGTACGTTTTGCACATGCCTTAGTGCAAAAAGAACAGAATCATGAGGACTATTAGAAATTTTATATCAATTACAATATAATACTATAACATTGCAATAATAATATTATAACTATTAGTAATACTAACTTAGTTATGTGCTTTTGTACACCCTCTTGTTCTAGAATAGAAGTCAGCTGGTTAAAATGAAGTACAAGCAACAAACCAAATCCCTAACCAAACAGCACCCCCACCAGCCAGAATTAAGAATTCTACTAATTTTGCTGTTGTTTTCTTCTTCCTCTTCTTCTTCTGACTTTGAATACTGCAGACTGTCCTTGCAGGATACAAAATTATTCTCCATGAAGTTATGGTAAAACATTTCTTCTGAACTGCAACATTTTTTCCAGGTGGGGAAATTGGCCTGGCTCCTTCCATTGAGATCTTAACCTTCGTTGTCTCTGACGATGAGGCTGGCCTAGATGTGAAAGACTGCTGTTATGATGGACCTCTTCCTCCTCCAGTTCCACTTCATGATTCATTTCCAGTATATGACCTTAACATCACCATACTTCCAGTGGACAACCAGCCTCCATCAATTGCAACTGGTGAAAGCTTCCTCTCACTATAGCATTATAATGTGGACTATGCAGTACTGTAATGGCTAAAGACTCGGGGGGGGGGGGGGCGGGGGGGGGGGT